GGGTAAGTGGAACATTCCTTGTTCCAATCCTACTCTGGACCCCATCCACAACTCTCTCTTTGGCACACTAATGACATCTCTTGTCCGGAATTGGAAAAGTTTACCTATCTCACATCCAATTTCCACTCTGCTCTCACCTTCACCTGGTCCATCTCTGACTCCTTCCTTTCCTTACTCAACATCTCTGTTTCCATTTCTGGAGATAGGATGGCCCCCAACATCCACACCAAACCCATTGACTCCCACAGTTACCCGGAATATAATTCTTTGCACCCTGCTTCATGTAAAGTCTCTATTCCATTCTCCTAGTTCCTCCATTTCTGTTGCATCAGTTCTGATGATGCCTGCTTCTGCAAGTGGGCTTCAGAAACATCCATCTTTTCCCTCAACTGAGGATTCCCTACCAGTGTGCTTGACAGGGCTCTTAGCTGTGCCTGACCCATCTCCCGCACTTCTGCCATCAACCTTCTCTTTGCTCCCACAACAGCAGTTCCCTTGGTCCTCACTTACCATCCCACCAACATCCATATCCAAAGGATCATTAGCTTCTATTTTCAATACGTCCGGTGGAAGCCGTCACCAGACGAATATTCACCTCTCCTCCTTTGCAGGCCTGCAAGAGGGACCATTCCTTCCAGGACACGCTCGTTCACTCCTCCTGGCTGAGATGGAGTGGATGGTGGAGGAGTTGAAACTGGCAATGTCCATGAATGAAGCTGAAGCTGTTGAGGGATCATTGGAGGCTCAGGTATTAGCAGAGGGCATTGGACTTTTTAAGCTAAACCCTTCTCATTGTTCCTGATCCAGATTACTGTCCTATCTCCACAGTTAGCCTCATGGCCGATATTGCTCAAGAGATGCTTTAAATAGGAACTGCAATTATGGCATTTGAAATGTCAAAAATTTTACATTTATCTTTCAGAATGACACTTCAAATGAGATTGTCTGTAACAACTGGTGTCACCCCTGCTCTCAGGCACAGAGACCCCATCCAATGCAATGGCCATCTCTTCTCAATAAACATTAAACTATTCGGCCTCCATTGAGCACTAGGCAGGGGTTGAGGTTCCTTCAGGAGGAAACTGTCTTATGTAGAGCAACAGGGACTTGCCCTACAGTGCGTGTGGAATTTGGCAAGGTTCCTAGGTAGAAATGACACCAGGAGCAGATATTTCAACCACCAGATTTTTGTGAGCATACATGAGCTGATTGATGTTCGTTCATCCTGGTCTCTGTTCCGCAGGTGTTGGACATCCCTTATCATTGCTACGTTGAGCTCTCCCTATATGTGCTCAGTCACTTTGTAGAAAACTTTGGTAGGCCACAGCTGGAGAATTATATGCAGTTCAGGTCATCATATTATAAGAAGGATGTGATTGTACTGGAGGGGTTGCAGAGGTGATTCACCAGGATATTGCCTGGGATGCAGCATCTCAGCTATGAAGAGAGGCTGAATAAACTCAGGTTGTTTTCATTAGAGCAGAGATAGCTGAGAGAGGACCTGATTGAGATAATATAAGATTATGAGGAGAACGAACAGATTGGTTAGAAAGCAGCTGTTCCTCTTACTGCAGTATCAATAATGCGGGGACACAATTAGAAAGTGAAAGGCAGAGATTTAAAAGAAATTTGAGGAAAAGTCTTTTCACCCAGAGGGTTGAGGGAATCTGGAATGCACTGCTTGGGAGGTTAGTAGAGGTGGGAGTGCTCAAAACCTTTAAAAAGTATATGATAAAATGTCACAACATTCAAGGCTACGGGTTAAGTGCTGGAGAGTGGGATTAGTGTGGATAGATTACAGCAGATCTGCTGGGCTGAAGGGCCTCTTCTGTACCCTATGACTCTAGAACTATTATACAAAGCTGACACATATTGGTAGTTTTAAATGTCGTGCAATCCTTATCTTCAGTGATGATTTGATTGATAAAAAGATATCAGTTAAGATCAACAAATGAGATAGGCACTCAGAAGGCTTTACACTGAAATATTAAATTTACCACATTAGACCATGAAGATCAAGACATTAGCACTCTTATTATTACTTCCCTTCTTTATTTTATGTAACTTGAAATCTATACGTTTAAGATGGAAGGCAGTGGGAACAATATTAACTGTGTGCCCTTTGCTCTATCCTCAATATCCACTGGCAAGACATGATTAGAAATCTCAAAATCTTAGACTGAGGCCAGTGAACCAGTATTGAGGCAATTCCCCTGATAGTCCAACTGTCCTGGGTAGGACATGTTAGTGCCTGGCAAAAGAAGCCAGATTTGACCAAAGAGCCACTACAAAGACATGCTTAAGAGAAACTTGAAGTGTTCTTGCATTAAGCCTAAAGAACTGGAAGTATCACCATGAGAAGGAACTCCTTGAAGAGCTCCAAACAGTATGTCATTTTGAAATGGATCAATGTCAACACCTTGTTGCTGCTCGTGAACAGTATCATAGAGCAGTATCTATGAATGTCAACAATATATCAATCTCAATGTCCCGACTGTTTTGACAGTGGGGTGTCCAGACTCGGGCTATATAACTGTTACTGTGTTCACTGTTGATGAGTTGGCATATCCTTTATTTCATTTGATCTCAAAGGACAACCAACATCATCACTGCTGCAAATTCCAGGCCATTACCATCAAGAAATTCCTTTAACTCATGTACGTTCAAAGCTGTTATATCTCTTAGCAGCAGAAGATCCTCATGATACCAGGAGACGGTACAGATATCTTTAACCTGTATTGCATAAGTGCTTGATTACCACAATTGTCTTTGAATGGCATGACATTGCTCATAAATGGAGCTTACTACCTCAGACAAAAAAAAAACTCACTCTGCCCACTCTGGGTGTATTAGCAGCTGGTTTTCATTTCCATTGCACATTTGTGATTTGGATGAGCACTGGAGGCCACACAATGCTTCAGAGAGTGAGTTACAGGCTTAGATTATCAATCCAAGTGACTCTCCTAACATTCGTGTTCTTTTCTGACTTGCCCTACTTATCAATCCATCAGATTTGAGTCTCCCCACATTTCTAAAAGAAACTCTTTCATTTAATACTTCATGTTGCCATTTTACCCCCTGAGCCCCAGGCCCACAGCTTAGTTATGCCAAACATTGTATGTACTGCCCATCTTTTGAAGCCAGGATGGTGGTGACCATTGCTCCCCCCGCCCGCCACCCCACTGCGGCACTCCACACCGTCCGATGGTCTGTTGTCTTCTACGCTTATATGTTGACTTGTCCCCTCTTCACAATTATTGTCCCCTCTGCATCCCATCAAGCTGCCTTTAACCACTACACTTAACTTCCCAACATACCACACACCAATGGCTTCTGTCAACCACCCTTGACACTCAGTGCACAGACCCTAGGACTAAACTTGGCCCAACACCTGACTGATTTGTAATGATGGCCCTGACTGATGGTGGACCATAACCCTGATTGATCTCTATGCATCTTCTGATTGATTTTTTGCTGAACCTTGACTAGTTGAACTCAACCTGCAGAACTGTCTATTGTGCATCGCTGAACTGTAATGAGATAGAATCCCTGACCTTGATTATCTCAAGCAACTGACAGACCCTTTTCAAGCCCCTGGACATACAATTGGATGATGTCCTTGACTGATGGTGGCTTCCACTTTTGACTGACCAAAGCTCCCTCTGACTAGAATGAGGAGACTCTCCTTAGAATTCAAGTCAAAGCCATTTGGTTGAAATACATTCAGTATGTTTGCTTTGTAAGTTGATGGCACATGCTGCAAGTGTGACACTGAAGTAGTCCAGTGTAGTATTGAAAAGCCTGACAAGCTGTCTGCTTTTCTGCCTGTGCTAAAAAGCAAGGAAAGACAGACAGGCCTGTAAATTCTGAATGAAGCAGCAATGTGCAAGAAATGCAAGACAATGCAAAGGTGCAGTGAGCATCTAAGTAGTTGCAAAGTGAGTAAGCACTAAGAAAGCAAGCAAAAAGCCCTAAAATGCATTCTGTTCTAATTAATGAGATGAGTTCCTATCCATGTATGCAAAGCGTCCTTGCAATAAAAAATGTCCAAAGTGCAGTATTGAAGGAGCTGAACTATATTATAGGTATTCATTTCCCAGCCTTAGATTTAACTATTGAACCTATTCAGACATATTATTACACACCTCTGGTGTAGGTGCGAATTGATTCTGGGCCTACTGACCCAGAAGTAGAGACAATACCACTGTGCCACAGGAGTCTGATTTTCACATAGATCACTAAATAACCTCTGCTCCTAGTCTATTTATAGATATTGTAAATACAGGTAGTCCCTGACCATGGAGCATGTCCTGAGATGTCGGGAATTTTGGCCAAGGTAGGTGCTGGTGAACTGCCAGGTAAACACTCTGACCTTCATGTCAGGAATTGGTGCCACCCAGTTTCTCTATGCCATGTGGGAAAACAGTAAGTTGCATATAAATGAAGCAAAATTAGGTAGTAATGAGATACTAATACATGCAAATAGGCCCCTCACCACTCACTATTGAGATTCTCAGCTAGCCATTGAGACCTTGAGTGGAAAATCTGACTTTTTTTGTCATCATTGAGAATCTCATTTTTGTATTCATGCTGTATTTCCCAGCTGTCTTTACATTATTTACATTGCTCACATTATTCAGGGACTGGGAAACTCAGCCCAATATTTGTTTTCAAATGTAATAGCCTTGAATTTCTTAAAAATGAGCTACTCTGCTGTGACACCTTTTCAAAAATATTTGGCCTGATTTTAAGCCTGTCTACAAGTAAGAACATGGAAGGTCAAGAGGTTAAATGATGGGTAGGTACTTACATGCTGCATTTCCAACAATTTCGAGTTTTCTGCCATTTTAATTATTGGGATGCTGACAGCATTAGAGCCGCCTAACAGAGTGAGGCAGCAATTTCATCAACATAAAAAGTTGGACCATTTGCAGCTTTGTTCTAAACAACTCATTTTTGTATGTCCTTCTCATGTCTGTTTATTTCCTCTCTTACTTTAGGTTCAGAAGAAGGTCATCATTATGTGCAGGTTATTATTGTTCTGATGGTGGTGCTTTTTCTGATTATTCTTGTGGGCGTGGCATATTTCTTTCTCCAGAGATATCTTTAACAACATCTGCAAGACAATGGAAGGTGAGTTTATAATTGAATTTACAATGGAGTCTCATGTACAATGACTTCACTGGTGTCTCCGTTATCTCTGGTGTCCCCCAAGGATCAATCCTTGGTCTCATTGACAGGCGTTATCATCCAAAAGCACAAAATTAATTTTCACTGCATGCAGCTTTACCTCACCTCAACTCTCTCAATTTCTCTTCTCAAGGCTGGTAGGTGTAGGGAATGCTGGATGACAAGAGAAATTGAGGTTTTGGTTAAGAATAAGATGGAAGCATATATCAGTTATAGGCAATAGTGAATCCCTAGAAGAGAACAAAGGCAACAGGAGTATACTTAAGAGGGAAATCAGGAGGGCAAAAAGGGGACATGGGATTGCTTTTGAAAATAGGATTAAAGAGAATCCAAAGGGATTCTACAAATACATTCAGGAAAAAGAGAGTAACTAGAGAGAGAATAGGGTCCCTTAAAGATCAGCCTATGTGTGGAATCGCAGGAGATGGGGATATACTAAATGAGTAGTTTGCACCAGTGTTTACTGTGGAGAAGGGTATAGAAATTAAAGAATGTGGGGAAATAAGTAGCGGAATCTTGAAAAATATCCACATTACAGAGGAGGAGGTGCTGGACATCTTAAAACGCATGACGGTGGATAAATCCCCAGGACCTGATCAGGTGTACCCCCTTGCTGAGATATTTGTATCATTGATAGATACAGGTGAGGTGTGGGGAGACTGGAGGTTGGCTAACGTGGTGGCAAGGAAAAACCAGGAACTATAGACTGGTGAGCCTGACATTGGTGGTGGGCAAGTTGGTGGAGGGGATCCTGAGGGACAGGATTTACGTGTATTTGGAAAGGCAAGGACTGATTAGGGATAGTCAATATGGCTTTGTGTGTGGGAAATCATGTCCCACTAATTTGACTGAGTTTTTTGAAGAGGTAACGAAGAGTATTGATGGGGGTAGAGTCGTGGACGTGATTTATACGGGCTTCAATAAAGTAGTTAACAAGGTTCCTAATGGTAGACTGGTTAGCAAGGTTAGATCGCATGGAAGAGAGGGAGAACAAACCATTTGGATACAGAACTGGCTCAGAGGTGGAAGGCAGATGGTGGTGGTGGAGGTTTGCTTTTCAGACTGAAGGCCTGTGACCGCAAGGATTGGTGCTGGGTCCACTGCTTTTCATCATTTATATAAATGATTTGGATGTGAACGCAGGAGGTATGGTTAGTAAGTTTGCAGATGACACCAAAATTGGAGGTGCAGTGGACGGCGAAAATGGTTACCTCAGATTATTTTGATCAGACGGGCCAATGGGCTGAGGAATGGCAGATGGAGTTTAATTTAGGTAAATGTGAGGTGCTGTATTTTGGAAAGGTAAATCAGGGCAGGACTTATACACTTAATGGTAAGGTCCTGGGGAGTGTTGCTAAACAAAGAGACCTTGGAGTTCAGGCTCATAGTTCCTTGAAAGTGGAATGGCAGATAGGTAGGATAGTGAAGAAGGCATTTGGTATGCTTGATTTACAAGGATGTTGCCAGGGTTGGAGGGTTTGAGCTATACAAAGAGGCTGAATAGATTGGAGATATTTTCCCTGGAGCGTCAGAGGCTGAAGGGTGATCTTATGGAGGTTTATAAAATCATGAGGGGCATAGATAGGGTAAATAGACAAGGTCTTTTCACCAGGATGGGGGAGTCCAAAACTAGAGGGCATTGGTTTAAGTTGAGAGGGGAAAGATTTAAAGGGACTTAAGGGGGAACTTTTTCACACTGAAGGTGGTGCATGTATGGAATGAGTTGCCGGAAGAAGTGGTGGAGGCTGGAACAATTACAACATTTAAAAGGCATCTGGATGGGTATACGAATAGGAAGGATTTAGAGAGATGTGGGCCAAATGCTGTCAAATGGGACTAGATTTATTTAGGATATCTGGACAGCATGGACGAGTTGAACTGAAGTGTCTGTTTCGTGCTGTATATCTCTATGACTCCATGCGTTTATGATTATTAAGTAAATATTAGGAGATGAGAAACCATAGATTTGGTGCCTACTCCAAATTCCATTTTCTAGCTGCCAACTATATCCCTCTCCCTAGCTTCAGTCTGAGACTAAACCAGTCTGTTCATAAAATTAGTGTTACATTTGACCCCGAGATTTGCTTCTCATCACATATTGCTGGCATCAGTAAGATCGCCTGTTCCATCTCTGTGCAGTCTGTTACAGAACAGACATGTGTGACCCATGTTTAATTCTAGATGATAGTATTCATTGAATCACATCCTGTAACAAAGCATGTTATTTCACTTTTTTTTACAGCTGGGAATCAGTGAAGAAGTAAGCATTAAAATGCAATGTGAGCGGTGCAACAAAGTGAACTCAGGAAAAAAAAAATGATTAAGCAACCGGCCTGCAGGATATTCAAGTATTTGACTGTGGCCTTGCAGAGTTAAATACAACTTATTATCCATAAATTTTTCTTCACAGTTGAACAGAACCATATGCTACATCAATTTGAGTCATTGAACCTTTGTCTGTTTTGCAAATTAGTTTTATCATTTTTTAAAAAAAACTCCTGTTTCCAGAGATGTTCCACTCAAAGATTTGAGAAACAAATGAAAATCTCTGCATTCAGCATTAAATTATTGTTGCAAATTTTGCTTTGTGAATGCCTAGCCACTGAACATTTTCTCTGAGGACATGACTCTCCTAAATGTGACTGTGTCTCCTAAATGTAGCCTGATTTCCTTTTGTGCTCATTTGTGTGCATATTTAACTCACTTTGATTGCTTTTCTTTCCCACTTCTCTTGGTCACTTTTCTCTTGTTTCTTCCATTTCTGAGAAGTAGTCATGTTTTTTCTTACCTCTCCCCTCTTGGGTACTCTGCTGTTCTATTCCTACTTTAACCCGTTGCTGCTTCCCTGTCTCTCCTGTTGTCATTCCAGGCTTGGATTTTGTTTGGATAAATCTAAGGCTACCCTTTGTGCATCTCTTAGCATTCTCAGAAGTGTGGTACTTATCATTGCACCCTTTTAAGTAGCAATCCCAAATTCTCCTCCCTACCCAATTAGCTAACATCAATGTTTACACTTACCCAAACCACTCATAATCGCTTTTGAGTCTGTCAACAGAAGAACACTTAATGTGCTTCTCTGCATTTCTGTTTTGAATATGTATTCATTCAAACAAGGATAAACCATCCACAAAGATCCAATGGATAATTGCATTAGTGTTATGGCTTTACTAAAGTTTGGCTTTAGTGGATCCTTATTGAAGCTTTATGGCTGATGAAACATTCAATATCTGGCAAAGCCAAACTACTGGAGTATGATTTGTTGGCAAAACACACCTTGATCTCTTACCCATTTCTCTTTGTGTACCCTCTTCTTTGAACATTTCATCATGTTCCATCTTCTCACAATGATTTTTTTTCATGGTTCTTCAAAACCACCCTGAGATGCCATTCCTTCTTTTCCCTTGGTGTCTGTACCAAGTGATTCTCATCCTTAATAATTTTGGTCTTTACCTTAATTCACCTCTACCTCATTCCATCCTCATATTCTGCAAGAAGTATGAGGAGTTTTATGAGTTTCTTCTTCACTAGTCTAATACTAACTGTTCAGTTGGTTCTGCTGCATTCTCTCCTATCTTTTCTCATAAAATGAAATTCTCAGGTTCCCTTCTTGCCATGCAATGATCCTGCATGTTTCTGTGGTATCTCTCCTAATATCAGAGTCAATCTGATCTTTAAGATCCACTGTCAGCTCTTGATATCATTCTCACACTCATCTGCTGATCCCCAGTTTTAGCTGATGTTGTAAATTATCTATCTGCTCAGATAGGCCTCTTTCTCAAAATTGCCATACTTACCATATTTTTTCAATCCTTTTGTCACTACAAACTGCCATCTCATTTCCTTTTCTTCTCCAGAATCCCTGAAAGCATTGTCACCTCTGAAATTTGCATCCACTTTAACAGAATCTCTTGGTCCAGAATTCAGATCCATGGCACCTCTGGAGATGGCACCATGGAAGCAAACCATCCTCCTATAGGTGTGTGCTACCCTGCCACAATTTCCAGCATGGCCCATTTTCAATTGTGACAACCCTGTCAATTGACCTAACATCCGTTTTCCAAATTTAGATCAAAAGGTCCATTCAACAGGTTCACATGTCATTCAACAAAGATCAAGCACTCATATGAATTAGAGCAGAACACAAGCATTAATTGAAGAGCCAGGAACCCAATTTGCAGCTAAGATAATTATGAAAAATGTATGATATTGAAAATAAGTGGAAAGGCAAAGATATAGGTAATCTGTTCCCTGTGACAGCTAAAGGCTACAGTTGCAGTCTCTCTGTATCTACGGCACAACAGAGATAAAAGAGAACAGGAACCGTAGCATGGGAAAGCTCAGCACAATGCCCCCTGTCAATTGGAAGCTGGACTCTTCCACGCTTCTCAACAGGAGTCTGATTGCAAAGTCAGCCATGGCACCAGCATTTCAGTGCTCTTGTTCAAGAATGTCCTTCTGTATGCCACCCCCGTCTATGTCCAAATGTAGGTTCTCTGGAGCAAATGTTGTCCACACTTCACCCTCCAGTAAGCAGGCAACCCATCCCTTACCCTTGGCCTAGCTGCAACCCAATTGTACCTGCATGAACGACCACGTTATGATCCCAACTTTCTATAAACCTCCAATGTTAGTGCAGCAGCAGTTTCCGGGGTGGTGACTGTGAGTGTCAGCACCAGCAACAGGACTCCTTTGGCAGCACTGTTCTGTTGTTGTTTCTTTCCCCCCTTGTGTGCTTGTGCTGGGCAGCTATGTGTCAGAAAACAGAAATGAGAAGAGAAAAGTTGGGGTGGCAGAGGTACAGGATTGGGTGTAAAACAGGCAGCTTGCTCATTGGGCCAGAAAGCAGGATGAGAGCAAGCTGGAAGTATGAAAGTATCATAAGCCAGAAAAAATACCATTATCCTGAATGATCTCAGTGATGCTGATTTCATCTGCCTCAATAATGCAGAGTCATCTCCTCCACAGGACTCAGGAGAAGCAGCTGTCCATACCCCCCATCAGCTCTGCTCTTTTTTACTCTGTGATTCATGTCCTCCACAGGACAAGGAAGAACTCCAGAGAAGGTGTTGCTCTGTTTCTTTGAGTGAAGCACCTTCTGTGACTGTAGAGCTGAAGGTTGAGGCATTGAGAGGTTAGTGTAAGGCTACCAGGCTTGGTAGTGGTGTTACGATAAAGTAGAGCATTTGGATGCTATGCACAAGAACTATATTCCAGGGGGTGTTGCTGGGTGGGTGTTGGATGTGGTGTATTGATCAGCTTGAGAGGTTAGTGGAGATGTCATGAGAAGATAGATCTGTTGGTCTTAATCATTCGTGTGAGGGTTTTGACATCTGTGACACCACTGTAGGTCCTTGAGTCAGAGGCTGTGAATTGACCAGGCCATTTGTTCCCATTCCCTTCTGAAGGTTGTGCTGAGGGTCCCTTGGCCCCCTTCAGAACCATGGCTATGCTCTTTCTGCCCAACTCCACCCTGAGGGCCTCCAAAACTGTAGCCATGACTCTAGAACCCTCCGTCTACCCTGATGTTCCATTTTCTGTGTTTAGAAGTGCAGCAATAGTATTCACGAACAGCCTGCTAAGTTCAGTGGAGCTCCCCTCTGACAGACAGAGCACACCAAGTGCCATCAATAATTGCAGAAGCAGCCAGCAGCATGATGGACAGTATTACATTGCAATCAGATAACCGAGGTGGCAACATCAAATTTGTGTGCTGCCTGCCTCCAACAGGACCATCATCAGAGGAAGTCATCAATCATGAATCCCAAACACAAACTAATTTTTATCCCTCCATATTTTAACCTTTCCATGTTTTGTTCCTACCGTAGCATTGCAACAATCCTATTAAAGGTGTAAATGATAACCGTTGCCTTCTTGTTCTTAAATTCAGTGAAACCTTTGATGAAGTTGACACTCACCCATGCATTTTTTCCATTGTCTAACTTAATATGAGTGCTTCAGAGATATTAGGAACTGCAGATGCTGGAGAATCTGAGATAACAAGGTGTAGAGCTGGATGAACACAGCAGGCCAAGCAGCATCAGAAGAGCAGGAAGGCTGACGTTTCGGGA